AACGCATTCTGGATATTTAAAATAAAGACAAGTTTTACAAAGTTTGTATAATAAGCTTTCAGAAAATATATAACATGTTGGATATATAATACCATCTTCATTGTCTAATTACTCAATTAAAAAGCAAGCCAAATAAACTGCATCTCTACCTTAACACCGCCATACTTTAATGAGGTGGCAAATACATGTCGTCTTAGATCTTGTTAACGCATTGCCAGACACACAAATTTTAACTGTATTCGATAATCAACAGCCTATGGCTCTCATGCCAGTCTGAGTGTTAACAGTAGCACTCATCGTGCCAGGTCATTTACACTAGATTGTAACCATATCTCAAAAGAAGCTGTTGGTTACATCATTTGTGTTATGTTTAGAATGTGCGATTATTCAGGCATGGCTTTTTCATGGATGTCAGCGGCTACATAGCATGTTTTATTAAAAACCTAGATCCTGATCTCTAGACCTTTCCTGCAATGCTCAATAAATCAATCTTTGATGATCACCAGAAGATTATTCGTGACTTGAACGTTGTAGCACTGACGAGGAGGTGGACCAATTTGGGTTGGGGCTGATATTAAGTGAAAAGTGAAATTGAGAGTTTGTCGTCGTTTGAAGAAACTGTTATTGTGATATTGATTTTTGAAATATGTACAAGAATCATGGTTTTACTTCTAGGGGGGAGAATGTATTTATTTATTTTGTTTGTTTCCTGTTAATCAATTCCCCACATTGCAAGTATCAGTATGTTTACTTTAAACCAACATCCTGAATGTATCAAAATTCTTGAGATTACTACCGTGGAAAAAAAGTACGTATATGTAATAAAGGGATGCGGTTTGTACATATGGAACGTATTTCTGATGTGTGGTTTAAGTGGAGTGTGTTGCTTCCATTCTAGGAATGTTTTGCTTCAATTCTACAGAAAGAAATATAGTATTAAACTAATAATTTTGAAAGGAACTTTTGAAGGGTGGCGGTTGTGGTGCTGCTGTGCAGTACTGTGATCAATGTGGGTCTCATGGCTACATGTACAATGTAAAATACCTTGTTTGTTTGCAAAAAATAAAATACTTGCTGAGCAAAATGACTTTTGTTTTTTAAAGGGGTTTTGGTTAAATTTGTTGACTCACTAGTAAAAGTCTTTGTTTGTAGGTACCGGTAGTATTAATTCAGACATTGACTGTATCTCTTGAAATGTTTACAGTATACATTTGTGAACACATTGCAATCTGCCAATAATGAAGTAATTCTTAATTGTTCGTTAATTGTTTTTCTTAGGTTTAGCTATTGTGGATGGTTCCATATTTGCAGTGGGTGGCTGGGAAGGGTCCGCTAGACTAGAATCGGTGGAAAAATACGACACATGGACTAATATATGGATGTTTGTGTCACCTATGAAAATAGCAGTTACTAGCCCAGCGGTGGTGGCTCATGAAGGGCTACTCTACGTAACAGGTATGTGAGAATCTTGCTTTACCTTCGGTATTTGTCTAGGTTGGTTCAGTCTTATCAAAATTGGATCAGAGCAACTCCCATAGAAACGGAATTACATGACCAATCACAGAGCTTCTTACACGTTTCATTCCTGTAGTTCTATTGCAATGCAAAGTACGGCTTTATTGGCTTTCATTACGCTACTAAAAACAGTCAACAGAGAATAATGTTTTGGATATATAAATTACAGCTAATAGTAGAGATCTCATTTTCAGTAAGGTTAATTCATTTTCATGTCAAGATCCAATCGTGGTGGCCCTTTTCACTTTGCAAGACATCTGTGCTTCTGGTACCAATGCTGTGTCAAATAACTACAGTCTGTTATTGTGTTGTGTGTGAACTCCAGGATGAAAAAAAGTTAAAATAGGAGCACCAGCGCTCTCTTGCAACATCTCAGTCTCAGGAAAAAAAAGTGACACTCAAATGTCCCCACTAGAGGGCGATCTACCTAAATCTTTTTCAACCATTTCAGACTTTTACTTGCAAATAATTGTATTTTTTTTTGACATAAGCAAGTCAATGATATCCGGTGACATGTAGTTCTCTTCTTTTTTTTTCGTAGAAATAAATAAATTTACCAATTGGCAAGGTTATGTCATAATTCAAGTGTTGGTGACTAGTAATTTTCACTGCTTTTCTCTCTTTCTGCTGTAGGTGGTGCGGTGTTAGAGGACGGTGATGGTATCGATCTAGTTCAGTGTTACAATCCTAAAACAGATCGTTGGAAAGAATTATCAGCAATGCTCATACCTAGATCGGGATCAGCGGCATGCGTACTTAATGATCATATTTACATAATTGGTAAGCAGTCTTTATGACCATTACATCTATAATGGAACTCAATTTCTGTGTACTATATGTGCTTTATTATATGTTGTTTTATTGTCAAAATATGGCCATTGTGTGATGCCATATTCTTGTTTCTTATTATTGGTCTGTCAGAGTTGTACAGTGCACCTATGTGAGGTTATGAGTAGTACCGGGTAATCTCTGATTCAGTCCAGTTACTCAGTCCAAAGCAATTTCTGTAGAGGGTAGCTTTCTTTTCAGTGGATTTGACTCCTTGACTCCTGTATTTGACTATTTGAAGTCCATTTGGTCCATAATTCAACATTTTAGCTACATCATAACTTATTTTTGCAAAAAAAAATATTTTAGTGGTCTTACGCTAGTCACGCCTGCCAGCTTTGGGTGTCGTTGTATCACAGATATACATCCCTAATGAATTAGATGTACATACATTTCAGGAGTAACTGTTGAGAAATACAGATTGATACATTTCCATCTTGTAATCACATAAAACAGGAATTACAAATGACTTTATTTGTAAATTGCTGTTGATGCTGGATGACCTCATTTGGTCCCTCGTCGGTCTGATTCTACAAATTCTAGGTACACTGACATCAAACAAAGAATTAGTTATGCAGTCTATTATTATCAACAAATATGTGAACTTGAAGCTCAGAAAAATACTTTGTTCATCAGTGCATCTTGTTCACTAATGACATCATTTTTAGTAACAACATCAACTGTGTAACATTTTAAAATGACATCATCAAAAATTGCCAATTCTGTTTTCTTTTCAAATAAATATTTTCGATATATAGGAGGCTGGCATGCTTCAACCGAGAATACCAACAAAGTAGAAAGGTACGACCCTAAAAAGAATGAGTGGGAGATAAAAGCACCGATGCATGAGAGACGATACAGACCTGGTGTCGCCGTAATTGATGGTAAAATATATGTGCTAGGAGGCGAAGAAGGATGGGACAGGTAATTTATAATGATTAATGATGAAATCTTTATTAATAAGTCTCTGAAAAAAAGTCTGTGACACTGCCTAATACGACCTAAATACATTCAATTTATTTACAGTGAAAGCTGTCAAAACTGTTGATTTGAAACCTGTCTAAAACAGTTCAAGGTGTCTATATAGACTTGCTTGTGTGGAAGATCCTGATAAACTGAACACCAATCATGTAAATTGATAGGAGTCCTGACTTGTTTTGACTTATTATAATAAATAATTATTATTTCAGACATCACGACACCATAGAATGTTACGATGAAAGCAAAGACTGTTGGGAAATAGTCGGCGAGATGCCAAGCAGTCGGAGCTGGCTGAGTTGTGTAGCTATGCAAACCAGGAAAGATCTACCAAACAAAGACGCAAAGGTGACTTCATGTATTGTCTAACACCTGACAACATCACAGAATGTCAAGCAACACAAGCCACTAGATTTCCAAAAGGTTTTGTCTGTCACCATTCAACCTATCCCAAGAGTACCCAAGATTTTAGTAATACATGTCTGAATTGAACTCTCTGTAAAACCTTACACCTATTTAAACCAGACACAACTATAGACTTGGTTGTATAAAATACCTGTATGCGCCTAAAAACTAAAGCTAAAGAGGTACTGTAACGCTACATGTCCCACCCAACATGTAGGAATGTTTGCATGGCAACCAATGCTGTTAGAATGCAAGTGAGCAATTTACAGGCTGGCTAAATATGTACACCACATACAGCATTGTGTCTGATGATAACAGTGTACCTTTTAGACAGGTTTTAATGTATTAACATATGATGCATTTATACATACAAGCTGAAAAAGATGTTCAAATTCACATAGTATTTACTGGTATTAACAGGAGTATTTAGATCACAGACTTACTGTACCTGCCATTTTGTTTCAAACACAGCAACCTTGCCAGCTAATGTGCTGACTGGTTTGCCTTGCACATTTCGAGACCCGTACATTACTAGAACAGATTAAGTCAAACCAACTTCAACAGGAGATGTCAAACTAATGGTAAAGGACTTAATAGATAATCATGGGTGTGATTACCTTTTAATTTATTTCATTTTGTATAAATTGCTATATGATGAATGGCAAAGTTACCCAAACAAAATGTATGTAGTGATACCAGTACAGTCTGAAATACAGTCGCTAATTTGAGTCTAGTACATGACTCAATGCTGGTAAATGCATACATGCAGGCAAATGACACACCCTTATAAAATGGTTTGACCGAGCCAGTTAGCAACATAGCAGACAATCTTGCTGTTTTGATATGGCAGTCACAGTACCACATTAAGTTCTATACTTAAATTTGTATTATCGGATATATTTTGTTTGTAGTTTTTGACGTATGAAGTATCATACATCTGGCAGCTATAGCAATAGAATTAATTTGTCTGACAACGTTCGATGCCTGTTAGGAACATGTTTGAATGTCTTCCGTATTTGAAAAATATGATTCATATTTCTATCACATTTGAACCCTTTCGTTTGTTTACATCAGATGCAGCATGTTTTGCTGGTATTTTGAGGTTTTTTATATTCCACTAAATTATGATTACATGCAGAAACAAATTTTGGGTTATTATGATAATACCACTCGGGCAATGTACAGGGTCATATTGACTTCCGCTATGCCTTGGTTGATATGTTGGCCAAACTGCCGAAGTGCATGTTTTGCGGTATTCTCGTAATAGCTTCATAATACATGTATGTGTCACACACCAAATAAATCATTGCGATGTAAGATATCGGGGCAGAAGTTGTTTGCAAAACAGCCGAACATTACATTGAGTTTTCAAAATATCAGAGTGTCTTCAAATCTACAAGACACATCAAATTTTCTGACTGACATTTCTAATGCGGCTAATCAAAATTTTATAAGAAGCATTTCCGTAGGAGCACCCACCCCCACCTCTCGTCTTTTCTTCAACATGTGCCTTTCTTTTAACTCGATATAGAAACTGAAAACATCTGTTGCCATTGTTTCAAAGCACACTTGGAACATTGTTCTTCCTATGTTGGTTTTGTATAAATATTACAGCAGTGATTTTATGTCACAATTATGATAATAAATCAAAATACACAAAGTGGAAAACATAAAACTATGGACAAGGATTATCTTGCAGCTGAGTCCCTTTTAACAGTAATAATTTTCAGTAATATACCTCAATATTTGCTGTGCTAAATAGACCAATTTCTGTTCATGGCAAGATCATGCGTTATGTATAAAATAGAACATAAAAACGGAATGAATAAAGGTCAGACGTTGGGGTTGAAGCCAGCCAATATGTGAAAAATGCAGAAAATTAACTTTTGTGTGATTTATAATGTATCTGTCACATAGAGTGTACGTTTATGTCAAGACTTACAAGTCAAACGAGCAAATATATTCAGGTATATAACACGCATAGTACCATATTTACTATATTAGTAGCACATCCACTTATGTAAATGACAGATGCGGCCATTATCATAATAAGTCACAAGCACTGAACTGTTAGGCATTATTTTCAACACTCTGTGACAATAACCTCATAGTTTCTATGCTCATAAACAAATATATTGAACTGACTCTTTCTAAGCCACAATTGAAAAAAAAAAGTACAGAAGCAAGTACTTCCTTCATTATTAGTATTACAGAGTACACAAACAGACGACTCATTCAGATGTGATATTATAATCACATATTTTAAATATTACTTTATTCTTAGTCTAGGTAATATGAACTGCTTTAGGTCTTGAATTTAATATATCCTTAAGACCAAAAATGTACGTCTTTGGACAATATTAAACATTTTTTCATCAAATCCTTTTGAAGCACTTTGCCAATAATGAAAATTGGTGTTGAATACTACAGGTCACACACAATGTTTTACACAGTCAACGATCATGTATATGATCAATTTTATATGACCAAAACTTTTTTTTGAAACAATATCTACTGCTAAAATTTGAGCAATAATCTATCTATTGGATATCACGTTTTTAAATTTGTCAGTATAAAGTATATCTAGATATATAATATATTTTTTCCATACTCAAGTTCTTAAACCTTTGAATGACGTATTTTTTTCTCACAATATTTTAGTGTAATATTTTGTCTCTGTAAGTTCTTTGTAAAATTTGGACCAAATTGACTTGATGGCTAGTATTATGGAAAACATTATGTGAGTTTATTCTGTGGAAAATTACAAAAAATGACCGGAATTCAAAGAATTCTGGTAAATGTTCCACAAAGCTGGATTGTCAATTATTGTATTTTTTTAACTTGTTCATTAATTATGAAGCATATGGACAGAATTTACCATTACTTAATCTTTTGAATGGCAGTAAAAATGTTTCCTCATTTTCATTTTGGACCATACAGACGTTTTGTCAATGTTTAGCAACGTTTTGAATGAAAAGATGCAGATTACTGTAAAAGGATTAATTAATCATTGAGTTTTAATTTTGCTTATTTCGCTGACTGGGAAATGTGCTAAATTAAAAACCAGTGAATATGTAAAATTTAGCATAGAACACATTATCTAAATGGTAAAACCGTGAATTTAAAACCCACTGAATATGCCTGAAATGCTAAATCAGCGAAATTTAAACCCAGTGAAAATTTGTCATTTTACAGTATTACAAAATCATTTTATAGATTGTTGACAACAAAAGTTGACAATGTCACTCAAAAGGGTTGAAGTTTAATGTAGAAATAAGTATATTTCTCCAAAACTTGAACTTGAAAACTACACACTTTTGTGTAATGCATTATAAACATTATTTTCTTGTTACTTTATTAATCTGGCTGTGACTGACAGCAAATGTACAGTAATTTCATTTATTTTGAAGTGTCTTGTAACAAGTCGTGCACCAATATTAACAATTTTTTTTCTATACAGATTGTGGCAGACATGTTTGTATTCGGATATATTTTTTTTTGTACAGGTAATTGCAGTCTTGCATCCAACTTAGGTTTGGTTTTGTGTGATGTTATAGATTTTGAATATTATGTTTATGCATTGTGCTGCCTGAGGAAAAGACAGCACAGATATCTCCCAAAAGTATTAGGATATTTTCTTTTTATCTCGCAAACCAATGTAGCTGTGAAAGAGTCAAAAGTACTTCTATAACATTTTTCCTGCCAGAATGTTCTTGCAACATTTTACATATTTTTATTTATTTTTCTATCTTTTTTTTCTGGTAATTTTGGACAAAATCACTATAATTTCTCATTCCTTACAACAAAACCATTGTGCAGCTTTATTTTGTGAAAAGTGGATTTTGGTGATCTCAAAGGATTTAGTGAAGGTAGTGGAAAAACATTAGGAAATTTGTAGATAATCCATTCCAATTTCTCTAAAAATAATTAGAGGTACTTTCAATTTTATCACAATTACTTGGTTTTTTTTTAGTATATTGAGGAATACTAAATATTTGTTTCTATGGAAACAATTCTTGCTGCACATTTCTTTTTTTATCAGGATTAAAAGCTAATTTCTACAATCTGGATTTAGAAAATTTTGTTTGTGTGAATTTTGTTGCTACCCTGGTTTGATGCATTTTAAAATTCTTACTGAAGAAATGACAAGGAACTATATAGAAGTTGTCTATTTCACCGAAATGTTATAATTTGTTGGTTTCTCGCTATGTTAAGGACACTTACTGTATTACCATTTCAAAGTTTGAATTATATCAGTTCTGTGAATTGGAAAGTTTGAACTTGAAGCTTGCTCAGTGGGAGTTTTTTTTTGTCTCAAGCATTGTACAAGTCACACAAGACCTGGCACTAACCATTTCATAACATGAAATTTTGGTTGAAAATGTATTCAATCATTGTGCATGATTCAGTGAACAATGTAATGGAAAGTATTATTAATTAGCTAAATTTTGTATTCAACAGTATAGAATCATGTAGATATTTCTTCTTTGCCGTATACATTATTGTGGATAAGTCCTTGCATATGCACTGCTCTGAGAATAACGAATAAAGTGTTTTTTTGAATATTCATGACGTGTTCTTGCAGTATGTACTAAATGCTCTAATCTCTGTAAACAGTATAAATCTAAACCAACATTCAGGTAAACGCGACAAAGCGTATGACATGAAGTGTGTTCCAATGAAACGAGTTCGAGGAAATCAATTACACTGTAACCTTAAAATAATGAACACCTTTATAATGAATTTCCTGATATAATGAACACGTAGCATGTCTCCTGTTCACAACAAACCCAATGTATTATGTGCTTCATTATAGTTAACATTTCACTATAACAAACTAATTGTATGTCCCCTAAAGAGTTCGTTATAACGAGGCTACAGTGCAACTCCAGTGGTACCACACTCATCGGTGTAGCCAATTTGCATAATGCCATTGTTTATTATAATTAGCCTCATTTGGAAACAAGCTTTGAGATTAGCATGGTGTATGCCAGTACGGTGGTCAGATTCTAATCGAAACTATCATGTAGGCTAACACAAAATACTTTCTGCTGAATTCATGTACATCTGTTATTTGAATTTTGATGTATTCATGCATTGTACAAAACTATTTTCTATTCAGAGATTTGTGATCTTATAAGTGGGAATACCAGGTACACCAAGCTTGTTCATTTTGTTCAACTGCACTTGTTCAGCCACGGTTATAACACAAGTATCGCAAAACACCTGTTAACAAGCGTACATTAGTACTGGCAAACTTGTACGTTCAACAGTGTGGCGTTTGGAAATTGTACAAATGACTAATAAATGTAAATCTCCAAAAATCTCCCCAAAATTCAGATGTTGCGGCAATAATTAACCATGTAACTGTGACCCAATCAGTCACTCTGACATAACACAAACTTTGGGTTAATGATACGCGCGTTAATCTTTATTACAACATTCTACATGGCTCAACTCTTTGTTCTTACAGGGCATTCTGAGAACTATTGCATCCATCTGCATTCATGTTTACTCTTGTTCAGGGCAATATCCAGATATTGCCCGCCCATGGGGACAATATCTGGATATTGCCCTCCCACAAGTACAAATACACAAAACTCGTTATGCAAGAAAAATCTAGTTTACTTTTAATACATGCTTGACATTTACAGTCAACCTAATTTTGATCAATTTCCATAGAAAAACCATTTTCAGGAATAACCACTTCCACGTGTATAGATTTATCGCGGTTCTTCCAATACTTTTGCCTTTCATTATACTGTCCGACATTTTCCTTGACTGACTTGATTCAGAATCTGACGTTTTTAGTTTTTTGGGATGTATCTGATTCTCTTTGTAGGACCTTGCTCACATCAAATTGTTGCTTGATGCTTGTACGCTGTAAAGATATGAACAAAAAATCAATCTTAGCGATTTGTGAACTATCAATATTGTTATATCTTTACACAGTAAAAATAGCTCCAAGGCCTGCACATAATACTGTATCGGCCACTATCACAATATCTAGTTTTGCCTTGATGAATCTTTCACAAATGAACAAATTAGCACCTATGCCCGCCGCACTGTGTATAGTTTTTGTTTTGATTCTATAAGGGAGAATCGTACTATACTATCGATTTTATTTGCAAACGCCTGGTGACAATGTATTTGCTGATTGGCTACTAGAATTTCGCATATGGTTCTGCAATTTCATTGACAAATCACCGCGAGTACGATAATCAAATGTGTTTAATAAGTAAATTGACGACTTTTGTTTTCAACTACACGTATTTAGTTTGCAAGGTATAGATCCCACTAATGGGCTGAATTTAAATTAAAAGAATTTACCTTGTACGATCTTATTCGGTGACCCGTTTTTTTCAGCAATAAGCTGTTCATCCACTTTATCACTGTACAAACGTATGGCTGCAGCTGCTCGCAAATTCATTGGTATATCCTGAAATTCCCGGATTTTCACACAGTCTTTCCACCGTCTTGCAAGCGTGTTTTTTCCAACAGTTGTGGTCGAATACCAACAACTCGCTTTTATTTTTCGGGCTGGTGGCTTGTTCTGGTCGCTCTGTTGGACTAAATAATAAAGTAAAATGTTATTTAAACTAAATTATTGCACCATTATAACACATAGCAGGAGGAAGAGTTTATTCTTAGTAAAATTGGATAGTATTATAACTTACCTGATATCATGTTGATATATAGGCGTACAATGCATCTCTGTCGGCAGTTACTTTTCGCTGTACTTTCCTACATGCCAATCCTCCACTGTTTGTTTTGAACACGTCCTCTGTATTCTAGATAATGTTTGCCTAACGACTCTGTTTTTGACCTCCCTGCAAAGCAAAATGTATGCCAAATAAAACCGATGGGTCATTCAAAAAGCGATAGCATTTACCTTTAACTGACAAATGGTTTTAATGCTCATTACTAGTTCATACAAAGTGTGACCAGGGTAATCACTCCCATCTTTTTTTTTTCATTTCAGAAACGCACCGAGGTGTCTGTAATGGGTGTATAGAATGCGCCCAATATCGATCATTTACTTTCATTGTGAACTCGTTAACTAACTTCCCGTACGAATTTCATTGCGAATTCTTCATAAAAAATTATTTTCATACACATTTGCGGATATAATCAATGTTTAAACCCAGTAGTATGCCTAACTTCATCTTGGTTTCGTTTAATATGTGTCTGAACGAACCAACACCGTTTTGATGTTCAAAGTACTAACAACACTGTGTGAAATTTTAGAACTATCCCACATGCGGTTCAGACGCTATTTCAAATTGAAGTTTCAAAAAAGTGCTTCAAAAGAAACCGAGATAATGGCCGGTTTGCATAATCGGCACGTCGTTGTGGGAACAT